CTGATTGGTTACAAGGTCGTTTGTGACGTCAGAAACACCAGCGATTTCAAACCGTGTTTTTGAGACTGTCTTTGGTTCACTGCAGTTTTAAGCAGAAAATACTCAGCAATGCTGTCGACTTATGAACTTACACATGTGTGTCTTAAAGCGTATTAAAAACACCACATAGACATATAAACAACATTAAACGCTGGATTTACACCACAGGGGGACTTTAATAGGCTATATTATATCTGACAAAATGTGATTAATGAAAAAAATAATATCAAAAAGCATATAAATTAATTATTTATTAATAAACAATGTATTTAACAAAGGTTTTCTGTACTCGCCACACAAAACTGTGGCTTAGGATTATTGTGATTAATTAAAACTGGCCTCATGTCAGTTGTTTAATGACCCTCATAATTCTGACAGAAATAATTTCCTGAGGGAAAACATTTTTTTCAATTTTCCCACTAAAATGGCAAGGCAGTTCTGTGGGAATGAAACCATAATCCTGTCTCTCAGATTCATAACCAACAGACCACTCACTGCGACTATGATAAACAGACACCAGACATAAGTACATTTCATTTTAATGGCTTCTCACAGTTGTTTTCAGAACTACTGCACTGTTCATTAAGGTCATTATACATTTGTCCGTTATAAAACTGATCTGAGATCTGGTAATAACCATATTCACTGGTTAGGTGTTTCTTAACCAAATCAATTCCCATCACAATAATGACTAGCTGTCTATAATATCTGATGTCCTGGACACAGGATATATGACCACATATATTAATAAATATCTTTATATTTAAAAATAGCCAATCAGAAATGTACAGATATCCGCCACATTTCATTACATAAAAAGTTTGACTTTTCATGTCATAATTGACTTAAAATCATAATTTTGACTCTCATAAATCTCATAAACATGACTTAGTGTGTCATAATTTCAACTTTCTATGTCATAATTATGTTTTTTCCCCTTGTGTGGTGGAAATAGGCTTCCACCACTGAAACGCTCTCTGGCTGTCAGTCAGTTTGAGTTTTCAGGTTTGTTGGCCTCTGGTTGGCTGAGATGGGCGGGGTTTCGGAGAGGGGGCGGGGCATCTGGTTGGCTGAGATGATTGTGATGGGCGGGGTTTCGGAGAGGGGGCGGGGCATCTGGTTGGCTGAGATGGCTGTGATAGGTGGGGTTTCGGAGAGGGGGCGGGGCATCTGGTTGGCTGAGATGGCTGTGATGGGCGGGGTTTCGGAGAGGGGGCGAGGCATCTGGTTGGCTGAGATGGGCGGGGTTTCTGAGAGGGGCGGGGCATCTGGTTGGTTGAGATGGCTGTGATGGGCGGGGTTTCTGAGAGGGGCGGGGCATCTGGTTGGTTGAGATGGCTGTGATGGGCGGGGTTTCGGAGATGGGGTGGGGCGTTGACGTAGTGGGAAACTGTAAAGGCACAATCTATATCTATTCAATCTTTTCTATTAAATGGAATCTACAAATCATCAAATGCCATTAAATATGAAGTGTTTGTGTAATACGTGTTCTTTCATTAATGTTTGTGGCTTGTTTTTTGTGTTTTATGGAGAGCATGGCTAGTTAGCCCAATAAGAGACAGCTAACTTTACTCTTCATTTTTATGATGCAATTTGTCTACAAATTTATAAAACCGACCGAGATTGGGTAAAAAATCATATATAGACCATGGTTTATGGGTTCACTGAGATCATCGCCCCCTAATGGCGAACCACTGAAACTTATAAACGTATCGAAGCATTTATGACGTTACGAAGCCTCCGCTGGAGTCACGTGACTCTGGCCGTTTGATTCGCGATCCGAAAGAATCACTCGTTCAAAACAAATGATTCTCAAAGCTTTCAAAAGCATCGGTCACTGCTGATTGTTTGTCAATGTTTCTATCGTTCATTAGCAGGAATAAATCCCCCACAATGCTGTAAAATTATTGTAGGTTTGACTTGACATTGAATCTAAAAATTTGAGATAATTCAAAGAGGATAAATTTAATCAACAGAAACTCAAAATACTATGTTTGTTATCCAAGTCTAAGTTTATTGACAAAACAAAACAATGAAAATGATTTTTTACAAAATCTAAAATATGCACTTTGTCATAATGGTAGGCACAGTTAATCAGTGCAGTCGCACTCGCATTATTTATATAAATATATATGTTCATATTTCATCCTCACACTGGATGCCTTTAGGTGAAATAGTGTGTGTCTTCCCACATACAGCACACCATGATCATGTTCAGCGTGTGTGTGTGTGTGTTTGTGTGTGTGAGTGTTTGTGTGTGTGTGTGTGTGAGTGTGTGTGTGTGTTTGTGTGTGTGAGTGTTTGTGTTTGTGTGTGTGTGTGTTTGAGTATGTGTGTGTGTGAGTTTGAGTGTTTGTGTGTGTGTGTTTGAGTGTTTGTGCGTGTGTTTGAGTGAGTGAGTGAGTGCGTGATGTGTGTGTGTTTGTGTGTGTGTGTGTGTGTGTGTGTGTTTGAGTGAGTG